ACTAGAGAAGTCTGCGTGAAATATTTCCTCTGGCTTCTTAGTCTCTGCGTAGTATGTGCGTACATGCGTAGGTACGTACTACGTATAGCGTCAAGCAAAATATTTGTATATTTTTTCTCATATTCGTATTAGTTAAATTCTTAGAAAACAATAATTTTGCTTTGATTTAAAATTCAAATCATGATGAAATAATAAAAAAAAGTAAATATTAGCCTTACGGGCTTCGCCTGTTATCGCGAGTTAAGTGGTTTCACTGCACGCAGTGGTCATAAAAATCACAAAACTATAATTAAGAATTATAAATAAATGAATCAATAAAAAATATTTTCAAACAATCAAGATGAAAATTAAACATCCAAAATTAAAAAAAAAAACTTTATTTACACACTATACATATTGTTAATGCTGTTATGTGAATTACTTAGGTACTAAAGTTGTTCTAGAATAAGTGAATTGCCTTAGCTTCACTCGGGCTTAATAGATCTTTTTTATAGGAATAATTCCGTAATACATTGTTTTCATAAAGCACTATGTTATGTAGGTTTACGCATCGCACGCCAGCAACGTTCCCAGTAGGCGATTTTTCCGACATCTGACAATCATCGTCATATTTCAGCAAATTTACACAAATCCTTAATTGATTATACGCCTAAAATTTCCTCATAAATCACTCCAATTATTGGTGAAAACTGTCTGAAAATCTATTCGGCAGTTTTAGAGTTTATCGCGTTCAGATAGACACATAGATGCGGCGGGAAACTTTGTTTTATTATATGTAGTGTTAAAAACTTTGTTTTATGTCACATCTACTAAACTAATAAAATAAAGAACAGCGTATATTAGAATTTTAATGGAGTCTAAAAATAATCAAGTGTTAACGAATTTTGTAATATTAGATACTCACCGTGTTTTTTTTTAGAGAAATTGTCGTTTAGAAGATCCGTTTCAGTGTGTTGAGATGTTTATGTTGTTTTAATATTTTTTATAGTTAACTCATATATATTTTAACGTTAATTCAATACGGAAAAGTTAATTCACTCCTTAAACTGAATTTATAAAGAAGGAGAGGAATAATTTAAATATACGTAATATTCGTATATAGTTATGTTTAGTTTTTGTGTATGTTACATAAAATTTTTACCAATTGTGAATCTATTGTTATGATGTTATTTATGAGTAGCCTATATCGTAAGAGGGATCCTGAATCTGGAATATTTCGAAAATATTACCACGCAAGATATTTCACTTTGAATTTTGTATAAATAGTTATCACTTACTAGTGGCTCACCCTCGCTTCGCTCGGGGTCCTCGCTAGGTGCGTTTTAAATAGATATAAATAGTTATTAGCCAGCGTTACTCACATAATTTTTTTTTCGTAAATTTTTCTTATGTTTTTATATTTATTACCCTATTCCGGACTAAGAGAAATTCAAAACATCAAATATCATAAAAATTGGTCCAGCCGTTCTTGATAACTCAAGAAATGGTGTAACTAACACGACTTTGTTATATATATATATAATAATTGGTAAACACTATAAATCATAATTAATGGTATTAATAAATAATGATCCCTTAACACAAAGGGATACCTAACATAACAAAATACCATAAGCTTATTATAAGACATATTTATACTCTATACTTTGATTGATGATAGCACTAATATTCAGTTATTATTCACTTTCTACGATAACTTAACAAAACCACTCTACACCTCTAAACTACCTTTTACTTCGTTATTTGTTAATTGTTTAAAAATAAATCGGTCAATGCATGCAATAGCAATAATTGTTGGGCATTACAAATAGGCTTAATTTAATGTCGAGAATGTTGTTTTTGACACGGTGTTTACCTCTGTATTTAGATCGGTTATTTACAATTTACAGGTGCTTGTTACTAAATTTATCTAAAAAGATTCTCTATATTATTATTTAATGTTAATTAAAGACATTTATTAGAGGGTTTTATAAGATATCTAAAATATTTCTTTAATACAATCTTTAGAATTACTATGAACGATTACTGTCTACCTTATATAAGAAAAAAATCACGCTCTCCCTTTTCTCCCCATGCTTAGGGTGTTTAAAAACAATTTTGAAGTTTTTAAATTTTTATATTTTCTGTACTTATTTTAATGCTACCTTCGAGTTACGATAAATAACCTGTTTGACACCATCACACGATGGCGGTTCGATGACCCTTGTTAAGATTCTTTTGCACGACATACCAAATAAGTATATCGAGTGATCAAATTACACGCTAATTATATTTTTTATTGGCTATAGGCTTGTTTTAATGTGATAATTATGTAATAGAGTATATTTATTTTTATATGATTGAATATATTATTTAACGACACGTTTGGCTCAGTTTGTAGTGACCCCACTTCCTGTGCCAGCGGTCGCTGGTGCGAGTCCTACTGGAGGTATTCATTTGTGTGATGAGCACAAATGTTTGTACTCCAGTTATGGGTGTTTATATTTATAATATGTATGTATTTGAAGTTATATATGTGTAGTGTATCAAATATCTGGTATCTATAAAACAGTCTCGTAGCTTACCATGGAACTAGATGGTGCTGTGTAATATCCTAGCATATTTATATATTTTTTATATTATTTTATCCTACTAAAACCTGTTTTGTTATTCTTAATTGACCAGTTTGAAAATAATATTTAATAGATACTACAATATTTCGAAATATCATAGATTAAATATAAATGACGCTTTAATTTAAAAGTCAAGGAGTACGAGTACAATTAATAATTAAGAAAATCATTATAAAAAAATATTAACCTATTACGTTACATTTATAATTATTATAAAATTTAAAAAAAAGAAAAAAAAACGTGTGTGTACATACTTATTATGGACGCACGTAAGAAGTTATAATTCTTTAGCGTAACAGAACAAAAATAGCTAAAGATTTCATCCCGTATGTCACAACTCTGTTTGTAAAAGGAATGCAGCTAACTTCATCATGTTGCTTTTTGTCTGTCGGTGTGCGCGCGCATCGTAAAAGTTTTACTCTCATATTTTTTTCCAAACGTGCCAAAAGAAGTATAACTTCAAAAAGCCAAATAAAATTTGCAACAAGAAAAACAAAAATACTAAATAGCCATTGTCAACTTCGGTATGTCACACGATGAAAATACCTAAAGCTAAGTGACCGTTATATCAGATGTTCTAAAACACGTCTGACCCGGGTCAGATTGCTAGAGAATAAAACGGACGGCCTACTATTGTATTGCATTCGTGATACTATTTGGGCTTTAATCTGTATTTGATACAAGCATTGCCCGCGGCTCCGCCCGCGTTCAGATGACCAAAAACCAAATTCTTAGGTTTTACATATTAGTATACTCTTATATTGCAGTTTTTGTATTTTTTCTCAGAAATGAAATTTTTTCCCGGCGTAAAAAGTATCCTATATGGTGACCCGGAAAACCAACTATCACCATACCAAATTTCATCAAAATCCCTCCAGTGGTTATGTTGTCTGTGATGCGGTAACAGACAGACAGACAAAAATTCCAAAAACTTTAAATTCGGCCTCTGTATCGATAATAATGTTTATTTCAATAAGATATTTAATGGTCAGATTCGGCTTAGTTACAATTTTATTACATGTATAGATTTTACTTCATGAATAGTTTTGGGTTGTATTGATATTTTTTCTCTACTTCTTAAATCATTAAGGATCCATATTTGGTTATGTATAGAAACTTTCTATAAAAACCTACTTAGCTATTGATAATTATTACAACAGATCATATAATTTTATACCTATTACTTTGGAATTTCTTAGGAAAATCATTCGTATTACACCTATAACTTCCAATAGCCTTAAATTCTCATGTCAGATTTATAATAAACTAGCAGAACCCGCGGCTTCGCTCGCGCTAAAACTACAACATAATCTCTAAAAAGGTAGTTTCATACAAACTTTCATCGCCTATTTTACCCCTTTATAGAATGAATTTCGAAAAATGCTAAAATACGTATTTATTTAATTTTATTGAAGAGCATTAATAGCAAGTTTCAAGTTATTCTGATCATAAATATTTTTTTTGAATTATAATATAACGTTTACGAATTAGGTAATCTCCCGCGGTAATCGTTATAATACAATCCAAAAAAATATTTATGATCAGAATCGCTCGAAACTGGGTATTAATGCTCTTCAATAAAATTAAATTAATACGTGTTTTAGCATTTTTCAAAATTCGTCCTATAAGGGCGTAAAACAGGGAGTGAAAGTTTGTATGAAACTACCCTTGTAGAGATTTGTGAAGTTTTAGCGCGAGCGATACCGCAGGTTCTGCTAGTAGTACATATATTAATAACATTATAACACACTTTTTAAATAATTACAAGGATAACTAAAACGTAAGATTAGCGAAAAATGTCAACACTACGTACTGTGTGTAAAAATGATATCGATATCAAAATAATTAAAACATCTTGTTGGCAATCAAGTTGATGTTATTGAACTCGTTTGACGTATAATTAATCTTAGTATGAGATAATAAGTCTTATAGCTCTTGAGTTACGGTCGTAATTTAAATAAATATTTCGAGACAATCATTTGTAGCGGCATGACTAATATATCAACATTACATAATTTAGCGAGTTAGCAGAGAAAGTTTACTATCATACTACTGAACTAAAATTTATTTTTTAAATTGAATCCGCACTACATCAGCGTTCAGTTCTAATTATTAATATTATTATGCCACTTCTTTGGTAATGATTTAAAGTTTTTGTATGAAACGTCACGACTGACTGCGAAATGACAGTTTTACTTTCATAGTTATGGAACTATCTAGTACAACATGTGTTTTTATTTATGTAGTTATGTTATTAAAATTACAATATAACTTTTTTAACTATAAAATGTTCTACAAATGTAAATTATTTTTTTGTTTAAAATTATCTTTTATATCTTACAGCGACATCTATTGTTGAGTAGAAATTATACATAATTTTATTTACAGGTGACAATGGCAGTACTCACGCTTTGTACCTCGAAACAATTGTCGAGGAAACAAGCGATGATTTGCGATCAGAGCGTTCATCTGCCGCCACCTGGTTGTCCGATTCAGATGCTGATTCCGTCATACATGTGCGGGGTATTGCAGGTAATTTATAACGTAATCGCGCCACCTAGTGTGGAATAGAAGATATTTTTTAATAATAAACCGTCGTAATTTATAATACTAAACATAGATGGCGCTGCAAAATCTCATTTCTTTTATTTAACATTTTATATTTTGTTTTTAATCCCAACAGTTTATAGTAATTTTAATAATATAGTCATTTTTATACTTATTATGTTTAAAAAAAACTGTGGAATGAATAGATTTGTTTTGATCAGCGCATTTGTTTTTCGGCATTATTTTGATTATTTCCCTCTGGAACTTCTCCAAGTGAATATAAATAAATTACTTTCTGTGTCATTGTCACTGTCGGCGTCCGAAAGTCAGCAGTGTGATAGCGTAGCAACGATTTTGAATAAGTTTTTTTTTATATACAGGATCAGAATGCGACAGTGAGTCAGAGAGGGAATGGGCATGTCCGGCCAAGAGACGGCGACGAGAACGCGGTAATTCTCCCACAAGTATCGGCTCTCTTTCGCGTTCATCTAGCCTCGCGCAGTTCGAGTCCCTGGAACGTTCCTGTGCGGCCCCAGTTTCTCCTAGTCTCTCACCGGACTCTCTGGAATCCCCACCGGCGTCTCCACCACCAGTGCGTCCCGCACCGCGCGCCCACCTCTCAGCGGAGAACCTCAGCGAGGACAGTGGTTACAGTGAGCGCGCGCGCCGCCCGCCCCCGCCCGCCCGCCGCGGCCCGCCCGAAATAGCGCACGGGCCTGCCGCCGCCGGCAGCGTGCCCTGCCTCGCGTCGCCCAGTGCCGCGCGCCGCCAGCCCCGCACCGCCCGCGCCGTCTCGCTGCCCGCCGAGCTCGACGTGTGCGCCGAGCCGCGCCGCCACGTAGCTCACACCGCAAGGTTTCGTCAGACCTTCGAAGTTTGTGACAGTTTCACCGTAAGCGTGGCTGATCTTACGGCCCTCGACTACCGCGGGGGGCCCCGGCGGCCGCGTCTGCCGCCCCCGCCGCCCCCGCCGCGCCCCACACATCAGCCGCCCCCGCCACCCGCTCTCGATGTGGTCGTGCGCTCGACGCGGGCGACGCCAGCTCGCGAGCCCAGCGCTGGCAGTGATTCGACGACTGAATCCGAGCAGGCTTTCGCTAGAGAAATGGAAGCGACCGCGCGTCGTCTTGACGAAAATGCAAAGAGAGCTCTAGCCGACACCGGAAACTACGACCGTGAACTTTCCGTATTGACAGCGAGACGGTTGCGAGACTCGTGGGGGGCCTGGGATGACGTGCTCGACGAGCTGCGTCGACGGATGGAGCCGTCGTCGGCGACGCCCTCACCCCCGCGCTCGCCCTCACCGGATCCCATCCGCGAGCCCTCATTTTCATCAACACCTCTCCGCCCCGGCGACGCGCGAGTGCGGTCCACGCCGGAGTTACGCGCGCGGGCGACGCCGCAGCGCGAGACCCCAGAGGAGCTGCGCGCCTCGCTACAGTTAGTCGCGCCTCGGCCGCCCGACGCGGTGCCCCCGGTGCGTTCCGTGTCCACGGGTTCCAAAGGGGTGACGTTCTCCCCGGTAGTGGCCGAAGTGAGCTGGCGAGAGACGAGTGCGAGTAGTACCGAAAACTCAGAACGTTCGACGAGCGAGAGTTCGAGTGTTAGCGTTGACGCGGAGGACGCAGAGGTGGTGGAAGTGGCGGGGGGAGGCGAGGCAGCGCGCGCGCCGGCCGCAGAGCGCGCCACAGCAATGACGGAGACGGGCGCGCGCGCGCCGCGCAGCCGCATAGCGGGCTTCCTGTCGCGGTTCGCGAACTTCCGTTTTTCGGGGCGCAAGGAGAAAAAGCCTCGGAGCGCAGGCGCGGCAGGGCGGGCGGGCGGCGGCGGGCCCGGGCCGGCAGACGCGGGGCAGGCAGCGCGCGCGGCGGCCGCGCGCCACAGTACGTGCGCATCCCGCTGAAGGCGGAGGCTGTGTCGCGCGCGGCGGCGGCCCCGGGCGCGGGCGGCGTGGCGCACAAGCCGCCGCGCCCGCCGCCCGCCGTGCCCGCCGCGCCACCCGGCGTGCTGGAGACCGACGTGGACACGCAGCGCACGGTGCTGCACGCACGCTCGCTGCTCGCCCTAGCGCCGCCCGGCCAGCGGGCGCCGCGCCCACACAAGTCCATGGAGTTCCTGCTCGACAAGGACAGCGCACAGACTGTACAGGTCAGTTGACAATTACACCAATAACTACCCTAAATACTAGACATAAAAACACAGCGCATCGCTACAATCTTCCCAATCATATGTATGAGTCTCCGTCGCATAGTGCCGCAATGTTTACAAACAGCGCGATCGATGCCGGCCGTCGAACTTTACCGGCACAACGTAGTATAGGTATATTATATTTTAATATCTCGTTTGTCACGTACGATATCATTCAAAGCAAAATAAATGTACAGTTGTACGCTACATCTAAACCCGTATCTGTATTATGTATTCTTGTAACCGCTAACAATCCAATTACACGCACTCGCACATCCCCCTTTCGCAATAATCAAATAACATTAGTCCGCTCGACTCTAACACATCGGCAATGAGAACTTTAGACTATACCACACGTATTCTATTAACAATGCACTATGTAAATGAGAACGGTATTCCCAATAGGGTCGTTACGAGTTACGACACAGTATTCGCACGCGATCCATTTACAGAGGGCGGAGGTGAAAGTGCGGACGCTAAGCATGGCTCAGTATCGTCGCTAACCCACAGAATGGGCGTAGCTGTGGTATCAAACAGTATGCGTAGAGCTATCGTTATCGCTTCACAATCGTCCATGATATACATACATACCACTGTTGTGTTAGTTATCTGAGATTATTTGTATTTAGAAACTTATTTCAAAATTCTGTCCCATAATAGGTAAACACTATCGTAACGGAAATTACTCAACATTTAAGCTGAGCTGACAATGATTTAAAGCTAAAATAATTCCCGACCTATTATCTAGTGATTAGATAACGAAGCTTAGACGAAGTTCCTACAAAGCAACGGCTATGATCCATGGTATAATATAAAACTAAACAACGAATTAACTTTGTCACATAATTTGGTAATTTACAAATTTAAATGCTTTAAAAACCGTAAAATTATAACTATTGCTATTGTTCACAGAAGTTTTTGCATACAATACAAGACCTTTGATTCTTGTATGACTCCCAATGCAAAGTCAAACAAAATTACGCGTTCATTATATTTTGAACAAAGTGTCATATACTCGTATCTGTATAAATAATAATTAAAAATTTTGAGATAAATCCTTCTTTTGTTTATTTCGCAGAAACAGTGTCGCTTATCTCAACTTATTGTTTCAAACAGAACTCATGCAAAGCAAACAGAACATATTTTTTTTAAAGCTGCCCTATTTTTTCACCGTCCACTCCCATTCCCATAGCACAAACGCGTTAGCATTTAGCCCGTATTATTTACCTAACGGTAGTTTAGTACTCAGTAGACCCGATGTTGTTCGTAATAAAATCTACTTACATAACAATATTCTGTTAATATTAAATAATATTGTTAAAAATAATTCAAATCATTTTATGCTAATTATTTGTAAACTCGAATGTAGGATATTTAAATTTAATAATAATTAGCGAATAAGAATTACACATTTTTACGAATAGATTTCACTATTCCAATAAATATTAAATATGTATTTTCTTATAGCATTTATGTTGGTATTTTCTTTATTCTTATAACAAGAATAAAGAAAATACCAAGATTAAGTTATAATATATACTCGCTTAGTGTGTATTTTCAATCCTTACTTAAAAAAGTATCAGTTAAAACCGTACACCGGCTTCAAAATCGTTTTAAAAGTAATAATTTTTTATTATATTATACATTTTATAGATATCGCATGATACTAAAACACAATTTTAAATTAAGTACGTTCTCATATTTGAGTTGCTTGAAATTTATACAAAACTATGTACTAAAAGCTTTAAAGTTAATTTTTTAATGTGCTTAAGGAATATTTGAAGTTTTTTTTCTTTATAAACACTATAAAAATCATATTTCTCACGTATATCGAGTTAAGTATATGATTCTATCACAATTGCTCACTGCTCCTCTCTTGAGAATACATTATCCATGACATATTGCTGTTATGATGTCACCGAATGTTATATGAATAATAATAGTATTATTACCATTTACACCTCGATCAGTGCGCAATATAGAACGCAGTTCGTACATATTGATAAGGCCTTTAAACCACAAGTGTTTGCGACACTTTACAGTGAATTCTGATGACAGAATCAACTAAACTTACTTTTCTCACAATTTGAAGGCGAATGTTCTAGAATTCAGTGTGTATAGGGGTCTATATTACCAATTTCCTCTCATTAATAGTCTGCAGCTTTAACAACGTTGAGCAGTTGACTGCGGGCGCACTTTGATGCTCCACATAATTAATTATAATCTGTACGCAATAATCGAACCCTCTAAATATAGGTACTTCTATAGACTTTAAGTGAAACATAAACTACCTATCTCTATTTGAAATTGTTTTACGACGTTACATCCGTCATGAGCTAAATATGAATTCCATTACATTAGTTACGTTATAAATAAAGATTAATCTAAGCGAAAGTTGCTTCAGTTTTCTCGATGTAATCGATATTCAAATTTTAATCGATTTCAGTTAAATTATAAAAGACAGTGATAACGCGCTCGCTTGGGAAATCGAGTGAAGTGGCTTCAAATCCCGGGTCTCGCACCTGTAATATTTTTATGTGCGAATTATTTCTAACATGATTACCAATTGCCTGACGGTGAAGGAAAACATCGTGAGGGAACCTGTCTGAAAAAACCTAGCAAGTTTTCGAAAGACATGTGAAGTCCGCCAACCCGCACTTGGCCAGCGTGGTGGACTAGGGCCTGATCCCCCTCTTATTGAAAGGAGGACCATGCCCTGCAGTGAGACGTTAAAAAAGGCTGAATATAAGTTAAAATATTGTTCGAAAGTGATCGAAATTCGATCATTATCATTTTTTTCATCTATAACACTAAAGTTCGTCAATAGCTACTAAACAAAAAAAAGAAAACTGGTTGACCGAGGGAAAAGAGGTACTGAACTGTTATTTATATATTTATATATAGACTAGCGAGTCACCTTCGCTTCGCTCTTGTTTGTCCCTAGCTTGGTTCCCGATACAAACTTTCATCCCCATTTTCAACCCCTTAAGGGATGATTTCCGGGATATAAAGTATCCTATGTCCTTTCCAGGGTCTCAAACTATCTTCTTACCAAATTTTATCTAAATCTGTTCTGTAGATCCAGAGATTACCCCCTACAACTTCACAAACTCACAAACTTTACCTCTTTATAATATTTTAATATAGACACCTTTTTGAAACGTAGAGTTTTCCTGCAATTATATCTAATTTGAGGGAAGTCGGGTGTTAGTGTTATAGCTACTATCTAAACTGGAGGATGCAGGTACTGAATAGGATACAGGTAAAGACGTCCGCGACTTATACACTAAGAATAGCTTTCCTGAACACGGAACATAGTCCCTCATTCCTCTAATCTTCTCTAATTGCATTTAAGAGCATAACTTATACTGCTATTGTGACTTTAGTACGTGAATTAAGTATTATAGTTCAATTATTTTATACCATTTTTCTAGTTTTTCATTTAAGTCCCAGCTTTGAAGGCCTAATACCTTTAAAATGTACTAGCATTGCCCGCGGCTCCGCCCGCGTTCAGGTGACCAAAAACCAAATTCTTAGGTTTTACTTATAGTATACTCTTACATTGCAGTTTTTGTATTTTTTCTCAGAAATGAGACATTTTCCCGCGGTAAAAAGTATTCTATATGTTGACCCGGATAACCAGCTACCATCATACCAAATTTCTTTAAAATCCCTCCAGTGGTTTTCCATGATGCGGTAACAGACAGACAGACAAAAATTCTAAAAAACTATAGATTCGGCCTCTGTATCAATAATAATGTCTATGTCAATAAGATTTTCCAAAAAATATTTAATGCACAGATTCGGCTGAGTTACAATTTTATTATATGTATAGATTTAATGGTGTAATATTATTTGGTAAAACGAGTTTAATTACGTTCATAAATCAAGTGGAAAATTAAATGAAAGTTCAAGTCTCTACCTTTCTCTTAATTCTTCTTAATCTATAATCTACTAATAACGAGCCTGTAATTTTCCTTCTTGTATCGACATTTATTGTTTAATTGGGAAAATAATAAAGCGAATATTTCTATAATACATTTTATTTTATAATTTTCCAATTAATAATTAAAATGTAGACTCTATATTTTATTAATAATGTTAAATTTCATAATTAACCTACTTAATAAATGTTTTGATGATAAAACTTTTGAATCCTTCCAGCGATTCTCGAGTTGGTTGATTTGGTTTCTATATCGTATGAGATGTTATAATATACTAGATTCTACTTGATTTGCATTAAAAAATGACAATTACAATTTTATTATAAGTGAAGAAGTATCAATTACATTTTTTTCTGAACGATCAGTTACATTTTTTGCATACGCAGACGAAGTTGTCGACAGGCTTTAAATTTTAAATTCAACTAACCACAGTACTTCAGTAAAGCGATGATATATAATACTCGTATGTAGGGAGACTTCCCTCTCTTCATAATGAAGCGTGTAGTAACATTTTTAATTTCACACCAAAGCCTTTTGTGAACTTATAATCATAATGTTGTAGCACAAAGCCCTGCTTCTACATACATTTTGTATTGCAAAACTTTCTAGGCATGTCAACATTGAACGTTTACCATTACCATCATCTGTTATAACCGGTTAGGTTTGCTGAATCAATCTCATCGACCTTGCGCTGAAGAAATAACCTAAGGCGTTCTAATATTTTCTCTTTGAATGCCGCCGACTAGAGACTTTATGACGACTAGCTGACGACTAGCTTTTACATCTGGCTTTTGCGTCTGTTTAAATAATTAATTAACAAAAACTTTAAATAGGAGTATGCGTACTAAAAATTATTCAGTAATATTTGTTTCAACGTATTTGGCGGAATAACCGGGAAAGTATTTTTTTTAATCTTGTTTAAATATTTTTTTAAATAAATAATAGACTAAATTAGCTTTAATAAATTCATTAGTACGCAGACTTCATTTATATTGTACGTATATAGCAATTATAAATTGAAAC